TTCTTCTTCTTCTTCTTCTTCTTCTTCTCCTCATTCTCCTCCTCCTTCTCCTTTCCTCCTCCTCCTCCCCCCCTCCTTCTTCATTGTTATTATTATTTTGGGGAAAGCAGAATAATAAAATGTCACAAGACAGGGAGAAGTGGCAGCACAGGAGGAAGAGACTTCCTTGAGTTTATTTTACTGCATTCTGCTAATTGCACAAGCCCATTAAGTCTCTCCAGAAAGCACTAAGAACATCTCAGACCTCTCTCCCAGTCTAGCAAAACATTTGCCCAAACTTCAAGAGCTTAATTAACCGGACTTCTTGCTGGTGAAACTTCCTGTCATTCATCAGGAAGCTAAATTAAAATCCAGCCTCAGAACTAGGGGGCAGAGGGGAAGGACACAGCTGGCTTCGCAGAGGAAAGGCTGAACTGATTTAGCCGTGAAGTGGACCCATGCCAGCAGATAAAAGTTCCCGCAACTGTGAAGTTTTCCAAAGAAGGAAAATATTGTGTCTGCCTCTCCAAAAGAGTAAAACTTGTGCGCTTTAAAACTTTTCGCTTTAGGCCTCTGCCGCCGTGTGCAGAAAAAAAAAAAAAAAAAAAAGTTCAATCACTCAATCAATTTCAACTTCTCGCAGGAAAAAAAAAAAAGATCTCGCAAAGTTAGAATTGATTGATTGAACTTTTTAGTCCCACCCAGTCTGCCGTTACCACCGCAGCCACACCCACCCAATGGGCCACGCCCAGCCAGCGCCCAACAATACATAAGTGGGTTTTGGGTTGCAGTTTGGGCACTCGGTCTCTAAAAGGTTCGCCATCACTGACCTTGACAGTCCTTGAAAAGGACCTGGGATAAGCAGATGTTGATGGCTTATAATATTAAGAGGGATCATCACAGGATGTAAGCTGTTTTGAGTCAAGCTGCCTTTTGCAATTGACCAGTGATGAATTTGTCAATGCCGGTGGGGTTCAAATGGTGCTCCAGATGTTTTGGGATTGCACCCAAGGCGCCTCTTAGTATTGGTACTGTCCTTTGCTTTCTTTTGCCGCAGTCGTTCTATTTCCGTTTGCAGGTCTCTGTCATCATGATTATTCTTATTAATCTTGTGATTTAATCTCGAGGTGCCCTTCATATACTGTGGAGGTCAACAGCTTTCTTCTTGCTGTGCTTTTCCTGCAGCTGTGTTAAAAGCAGATGGGCATCAAATCATTCTCGAGGAAATTCCCGATTGGAACGACGTGCAGCTGATTGTGAATGGAGAGACCATCTTCCAGTGCAACATTAACGATCTAGATTTTGGTAAGTGCCGATGGCATCAACCTGAACTCAAGTATCTCAGAGGCATGCTTCATATACTCCCGGCTGAGAAATGCAACAGATCAAGATCCACGGATGTTCTATGGATTTTGATCTATTAATTACTTGCTCTCTTTCTCTCAGGAGGAGATGGAAAGTTGGACCCTCTTTGCCAAGAAGCTCGAGAGGCAGTCTTAAAAGCCTACTGACATTTCGTTGCGCTTTTGTTTTTTTGTAAAAGCTCATTTCTCACGAATGAAGGCAAAAAAAGATTCCTTTTTTTTTTTAAATCTCGATGCCAAAACAGTATGGTCTCCAATTCACTAATCACGTCTCTGTTTTATATCTAATTATTTAGAGCCTTTTTGTCCTTGTGCTCATTTTTTTTCCTATGCTCATCTTGCTCTGCTGAAGTGTCCCTCACCTGCTTGAATCATCACCGTGTCCACAAGGGGAGAGGGGTGATCAAAGCATTATTGCACTGCTTATCTGTTTTGTCGAAGCTTCACGAGAATCATCTTTCTACTGCATTCCTGCCATATGGAGAGTTGTTTGCTAGGAGCTGGGTGGGAAATAAATTCAACCATAAATAAATAAAATATAACCATTGCACGCCATTTTCCGGTTTCCAGTACTTGAAAGATTGGAAGTCGCAAGTTCCTCGTATCAATCCATAACTATAGTATTCTAGGTAGCGTAGATTCATACAGAACAGGATTTGACTATAGGAGGGGACACTTCCAGTGTTGAATTGCGAGCATAATTTTCTCTCCAAAATATGGCAATAAAATTACTCGTTTCATCTGCTACCTTGACCTGTCGTTGGCTGTAGACATGAATTTGACAGAGCGCCTTGCGTTACTAGTAGGACTTTTCCAACATTGCACGGTATGCTTTATATTAATGACAATCTACTCGTATCCTGTACATTTCTACTGACTTAGCATAGTGCAGTGATGGCGAACCTTTTAGAGACCGAGTGCCCAAAAACTGGCCCCGCCCCCAGTCCATCCCCTGCCCCGCCCCCACTATGCCCCCCCATCACCTGCCCCGCCTGCCCGCAGGGCCACTCATCGCCTCCAGGGCCCGCCGCAGATCACCCAGGCAGCCCAGCAGCGCTATGCTGGTGACACCCTCTGCCCGTGCCCTGCAGCATCAACTGTGCATGATGTGGTGTGAGGGCAGAGTCTTGTCTATGCTGCCTGGCTGCCATGTCCTTGGCTGCGCTGCTCCGCTTGGGCCACGCTCAGGGGAGACTCTCCTTCAGGGGGGCTGCTGGAGAAGGCTGGGGCAATGGCATGTGTGCCCACAGAGAGGGCTCTGAGTGCCGCCTCTGGCACGCGTGCAATAGGTTCGCCACCACTGGCATAGTGTCATGGTTCCGACAGATGAAACTCTTCAAAGAACTTTGAGGCATTGTTTACCTTAAAGAATCTTTATTTGAGTAGCATAGCATCGGCACTAGCATAGTTGAAGCCAAAAACTGAATTCCCCTGCCCTGAACACACAGTATCAAAGCACAATTCCCTCCTCCAATTAACAGTCATAAATCACATTCTCCAATTAGTTTGAAATGCAGGCTTTCCCTCCAGTTCTGCAACCCGCCAATTCTTATCATCTCTTATTTCAAGCTCTGAATTCACACGCTAGCACGATACTGTTATGTCTAACTAACTCCCACCGTGTTGCGCCTCCTCCTCCCCCCAGCATCATCCATTTCTAAGAGTAAAGCATAAGAAAGAAAAAGGCTGCATCTTCATTTGTTGCCAAAGCAAGAACATCCAATGTTAGCAGCGTTGACACATAGTTTATGGAGGTTTTCCTTTCCTGTGTTGAATAGGATCACCAAGAATCTCCAGCATATTTCCACGCTGCTGAATATGAAGCTATTCGCGATTGATATCTATGGAGCTTCTCCAAACATCCAGGTCACGATTGGTCCCCAAAGTGCTTTTTTCCAGAATGCAATCGGACTTTCTTGGGGTTTTTTTTTCTTTGAAAATGTTTTGCTTCTCATCCAAGAAGCTTCTTCAGTTCTGAACCAAGCAAGCCCAGTTGCCTTCTGGGAAAGCACCTTTGGGGCTACCCATGATCAGTAATCTCTCTCCAAGAAAGAGTTTTACAATACTCTAGTCCAGTGCAATATTTGACTTTTCTCACTTGAAATTTTAACCATGGCACAAGAGTCGATCATTTATGATGCAAGGATTCACCCTTGAAGAAATCCATCTGGTGGATGGAATAATAGTAATAATAATAATAATAATAATAATAATAATAATAATAATAATAATAGCGGCATGACAAAGTAGCAACAATGGTGCATTGGAAGATCTGCAAGAAATATCATTTGCCTGTAAGCAAGAACTGGTGGGATCATAAAATAGAGAAAGTCATAGAAAATGATAAAGTTAAACTGCTCTGGGACTTCAGAATTCAAACAGACAAGCACCTGCAACATAACAAACACCCCAGACTTAACAATTGTCGATAAGAAAGACAAAAAAGTCTGGATAGTGGACGTGGCAGTGCCTGGAGACAGCAGAATAGATGAGAAAGAGCTGGAGAAGAT